GTTGGTTGAAAATCTAGACTACTTAGTGCCTCTATGTTTAGACTTAAACGAATAAGTGACCATTCTTATTGTTGCTGCTGCGTCTACGTGTCTTGACAGCCTACGGTGTTGCCATGTTCTGAAACCATTCGATTTTCATGCATGCAACAAGATGGTCCAGTTGTCTAAGACACTGTCATTCACTATATCTCCCGAGTTTGAACCCTGAATAGCTAATTCCTGGTTTGCCAACACCATACCTGTGTCTGTGGATTTCACCAAAGAGTAAAGGGAAAAAGTGCATCCCATAACATTGTTTGTACCCTCTCAAGTAATGTTGAAACACGGCTATGTGACAGAAGTACTGTCCAGTACGTCGTTTACCCCTCCCGCTCATATCTATACAGGACACAGTATTTAGTGACCACACGTACAGAACAGATCACGTGATTAAAATTATAACAAATAAAACACATAATAAATTATGTAACAATAGATTTATTCTACCTCATGTTCGGCAGCGTACAGGTAATACAATGTAAATAGATGTAAAGTATGTGAAGTATAATTGTACATACACGCATAAATAGATAGACATATCAGTCATATAATAACGAACAGTCATTTCAGTTGGTAATATGTAAATTCAACTGGTTATGTTATTTTGAGTTCTTAAAATTGTGTACTTGTTTTCTCCTGCCTCATAACACCGACGTGTTATAATGGTGATACTCCTCCAAGCGGCTTTATTACCTGACACACTCACCCCTCCTCCCACGCCGCGATTGATTAAAGTGAAATATTGTACCAGCTGAGTTCAGCCTAATACCGCTCAACACGCCGACACTCCATGGTATAACTGAAATATTGTTACCAGCCGAGTTCAGCCAAATACCGCTCACCACACTGACTCTCCATGGTATAACTGAAATACTGTTCCCAGCCGAGCTCAGACAAATACCGCTCAACACGCCGACACTCCATGGTATAACTGAAATACTGTTACAAGCCGAGTTCAGCCAAATACCGCTCAACACGCCGACGCTCCATGGTATAACTGAAATACTGTTACCAGCCGCGTTCAGCCAAATACCGCTCAACACGCCGACACTCCATGGTATAACTGAAATACTGTTCCCAGCCGAGCTCAGACAAATACCGCTCAACACGCCGACCCTCCATTGTATAACTGAAATACTGTTCCCAGCCGAGTTCAGCCAAATACCGCTCAACACGCCGACACTCCATGGTATAACTGAAATACTGTTACCAGCCGCGTTTAGCCAAATACCGCTCAACACGCCGACACTCCATGGTATAACTGAAATACTGTTACAAGCCGAGTTCAGCCAAATACCGCTCAACACGCCGACACTCCATGGTATAACTGAAATATTGTTCCCAGCCGAGTTCAGCCAAAAGCCACTCACCATGCCGACATTGAGATAACTGAATCACTGTCGTGTGAAACGCATATCACGTTTCCCTCATGAAGCTGGCGCTCATTGAATTACACCTGGCACTTATCTGTTACAATTGATATATTGTTCCATGTGGAGTTAACCAAAAACTCATTTACTCCACACACTGACCTCCTGACTCTCAATTAGACAACTGAAATAGGTTTACGTGTAGTTAACCAAAAGCATTAAAAAGACACACACACACATCCCACTACCCAAAGCCGACTCTCTCAGACAGCTGAAATTGTAAGGAGGGAAAACAATATATGGATGAAAAACTTCCTATTACGGAAGCTTTGTTATCGCTTGCTTAATAAAGGTGTTAGGACCTACACCGAAACTCCCAAATGCCTCACAAATAAGTTAACTGAAATAGTTTTCCAAGTGGAGTTAACCAAACTCATTGATTCCCCCGCAACAAGCTCTCACGCATTGAAATATTGTTAATCCGACTTAACCGTCTTTCTTCGGACTTCTTACTTCCATTTAGTGACTGACGTTGGTGAAGTGTTAGGGAGGTATAATGCAATATAATTTAATAAAGATATTAACATTTCATATACAACTCTGTTGATGCAGCATGTACAGCACAGTCATGAAATGCATCTACCTGTTTGAAAAAATAAAGTAGTTCAATAATCAACATCAAAGCATATACCACGGTGTATATTTTAATGTTGTAAGCAATGATTCTCGTACCAGCTGGTACTATCATTATCTTTTTTATTATTATGTATTATAGTATATTTATATAGCGGACATATCCAGGCAACTAGTGCATGCTCAAGGCGCTGCTATTTTTTCCCCTCGATCCTGGATGTCAATCTCAACGGCACATCGTATTATCAATCTCAACTCCCTGGGGAGTATAAAGCTCTTGCAGCCACTAGGCGCACCGAATTATTTTGGCTAGCTATCTCCACTTAGAGGTCTTATATAATATGCCCAAACACGGGGGATGTTGAGAAACATCAAGAAATATTTTCTGATCCCTATGATATGATCATATCTGCTGGGGAGTAGGCGATCAGATCGTATTAATTTTAATGGTTGGTGTGATGAGATGATGGTACGCTAGGTAGTTGAGGAGGTTGGCTTCAATGTTGTAGTTTGCATTTTGCAGCCTATGTGACCAGTATAATAACACCTCTGTCGGCAAGGCCTCTGAAGGGTCCACCAGCGCCATCTTGGCTTAGGTTGTTCCACTCTTCAGTGAGAGCAGTACCGAGTTCATTGAGAGTGGTGTCCCTAGTATGGTGATCTACCGTCAGTTACTGGCGATCTATAGCCTGTTTTTACATTGTCCTCTATATTTGAAGTCTTTTACATATAATTACTAGTTTTAAATTTATGTCTGTGATAATATAGTTGTTTTACTGTCCTACGTTGACAGGTTTTTAAAATTTACTTTCAATTACTATAAATCCATAATTTGATTTAGTAACGAATTTGATTAACTCACTCACTCACTCATTGAGAGTGGTGGGTGGATATTGACAACAACGTCCCATACGTGTTCTATGGGGATGGGGCATCGTGCGAGGTGGGAAGGCGAAGTCGGGAATGTTTTTGCCACATGAATGACTAAATTTCATTGCAAGACATTGCTGCATGTTCCTGTGGTTTCATCGCAAACACCCCTTCTCATCCCCCTAAGAAGCTGGCATAGTGCACTTCTCAAGGATTCAGAAGTGTATCACGGAACGTGAAAAACATCAACAAGAACGTAGCTGAAAACTTGTAACACCGAACAAGTGGCATTTAACTTTGGGTCTTAAAGAAAGAGCTTATTCTCCAAAATTGTGGGAAATATACAACTTTACAAGGTTTATAAAAAACACTAACGAACAAATCCAATTGTGAACGGGAGGGAGAGGGTAGGGGGGGGGAAAGGTAGTTCTAGAGATATACAACTTCTATATTATTAACATGATCGACATTTCGGTGTAGCTACTAACACCGTTATCAAGTAATTGTGTATGTACCTACAACGAAACGGCCTCATATAAATAGTCACGAAGTGTATCCGCAGAACTGAGCCAGTTGTTCCCCACCCCAGCTTCTAAATGCCACTCATAGAAGTAAGTCCAAACTTGCTTGAAAATCTTAAAATTTGCTTGACAACGTGTTTGAGAAATGCGAAAAAAACCGGTGGCGTAGCCTAGTGTTTATAATCCTGGTTTGATTCCCAAAATGTGAAAATTGACCAATTACACACCAACTCTCACACAAACTTCCTAAAAGGCACCTAACGTATTTATAACTCCTTTAATATAGCACAGTGAATGTCTAAGTACCTGGGCCCTGTAAAGTTCTAAGGATAATGTTTATCGATGCCGTCGAGATCGAGGTATTGTTTAGGTGTGATTGTGGAAGGATCTGAAATAGATAGGCAACATGAATGCTATCGTGGTATCACAAGAATACATGACAGCTCATTGCATTAAAATCACGTACATGTCACGTGAAGCATCCCTGTAACATGCAGTAGCTACCCTGCAGTCATGAATGAACCAACACGCCATGCGTGGTGAAGCATCCCTGTAACATGCAGTAGCTACCCTGCAGTCATGAATGAACCAACAGGCCATGCGTGGTGAAGCATCCCTGTTACATGCAGTAGCTACCCTGCAGTCATGAATGAACCAACAGGCCATGCGTGGTGAAGCATCCCTGTAACATGCAGTAGCTACCCTGCAGTCATGAATGAACCAACAAGCCATGCGTAGTCTTCAACACAATGTTCTGAAACAGCTCATCCTGGTTTATATACGGAGCTTTGGGAGTCACTTATCTTAACTATAAATGGATATAGCCTTGACCCAAATTGTTTCTTTTGTGCACAGCCCCGATTTCTCGAAACAAACTTAAGTTTTTACTCAAATTTCAAACTGAGTTTGACAATTTGAAACAGCTGAATTTTTAACACAACTGCATTTTTAAATACAGAATTCCCAAACAACTTAAGTAATCTATCTACCAGACTCAAATTTTCTACTAAGTTTGAGTTTAATATTGATTTCAGTTTATTCTGGGAAATGCATTTTCCTGTGTTTTCTCAAATTTGAGTAAAAACTCTGACTGAAGTCAAAACTCAGACTTAAGTTTGTTTCGAGAAATCGGGGCCAAAAGACGAGGGACTTGAAATACGTGACATAATAACACAATTCAAATCTTGTGTGCAAAGGTATGGGTACCTAACTGTCCTTTAAACCAAAATTGAAAACTAGTCTGTTAATTTGCTACGGCCACATTGGTTCTCATCTCAACAATATTTTCTATGTAAAGGAATCATAATATAAAGTCAGGCCCTTGAGTGAGTCCATTATTCTGGCCTCTCAACAATATTTTCCATGTAACGGAATCATAACATAAAGTAAGGCCCTTGAGTGAGCCCATTATTCTGGCCTCTCAACAATATTTTCCATGTAAAGGAATCATAATATAATAGTAAGGCCCTTAAAGTAAGAGTAAGTCCATTATTCTGGCCTCTCAACAATATTTTCCATTAAAGGAATCCATAAGTCCATTATTCTGGCCTCTCAACAATCCATGTAAAGGAATCATAATATAAAGTAAGGCCCTTGAGTAAGTCCATTATTCTGGCCTCTCAACAATATTTTCCATGTAAAGGAATCATAATATAAAGTAAGGCCCTTGAGTAAGTCCATTATTCTGGCCTCTCAACAATATTTTCCATGTAAAGGAATCATAATATAAAGTAAGGCCCTTGAGTAAGTCCATTATTCTGGCCTCTCAACAATATTTTCCATGTAAAGGAATCATAATATAAAGTAAGGCCCTTGAGTGAGCCCATTATTCTGGCCCCTTTGTTTGAACATTTGTAAGCTGCTTACTTACTTTAATATACCGTTATATATTACGAGAATAGTTTTGTATATGGAGTGATATGTTGAGGACTAGTATTGATTACACGTTTGTTTAAAGTAATTGATATATTGTCATGTTGTCATCTATACATATTTATATGTATAAACCTGCGAACCAATTTCATTGTAGAGGTCGACTGTCAACACATCCTGTGGCGCCGATGATATTGGCGAAACCACAAAACAATGAATGATGTAGTATGTGTGACCGATATGTTGACGGTTTGGGCGCAGATCAACCTTACCACCTGGTTGAAATCGAGCTTCGGTTCCCCACGGTCACAAAGCCCGGGACACCTCGTTATTCATACAGATACACTTGGACGTTGTTTGACAATCCAGTTCTTGTACAATTCCGCCTTTCCCATGGGAAGTGTCACCTACAGCCACACCCAGCCACAATGAGTTCTGGCACGACCCGAGTAATGACATTGTATCCCCTATCGTAGTAAATGATAGTTATCGGGGCTAGTAACAGGGGCACACATGATGCGTGAGGGATTGTAGCATCGTCGTTCTGAATGTGGAACATTGTCTTCATGAAGGTGTAGTTCGTGGTGTTCCGGTTCGTCGACAATAAACTACAGCTCCCGCTGCAGATTCCTGCGGAGACACTAGTGGGGGCAATGATCCAGAACCATCTTATGGTGGTAAAATCCACAACCCATTCCAAGCGGCGACAGTCACGTTCATCTACATCTTCCATGCTTGTCTGGGTAAATCTTTGAAAGAAATGCATCGATGAGTTTTGGAAGGTGTTCCTCTTGTGACGTGAATGATCCAGCGCGGCTGCTGCAATGTGCTGGTACACAACCAGGAAAACGTCTCTTGCAGGCACATGTCGAGTGTGTACAAAGTGAAAGTGAATGTTTGCTTTATTTTCATGTTGTGTAGTACTCAGTGCCTCCATGACATTGAATGCGTAATAGTTGTTAGAAAACGATGCACGGTTTCTTTCCAGTGATACTGAAACAGAACAGGAAAATATATGATATGAGAAAAATGTCTGAGAGTTGAAATTGAGTGGGCAGTTCATGGTAATATGAACTGCCCAAGACACCTCAAATGTCTTTACACATTCTACCAATGTTGGAAATCGAAGCCGCCCCATGATATAGAAACGCCTTATCCATTAGAATTCTCATGACGCCATCATTCATTAGAACATCTTGCCTCTAAAAGTCAGTACTCTGAACCCCCCATAGTATTAGCTTTAGCGGCAATAATGTACGCCAGTTAAGCGTTAATCTGAATTAAACCATGTCTCCTTTGTCTTTGACCGGACATTAACTTGATTGTCAGTTAGGCACCACCTGCTGATGTCGGAAACACTTTTTACCCCATGACATCCCCAGTTGATAGAACTGTTTCACCAAACGCGTGTTTTGCCAGCGGGATTTGGACATGAGAAGTCCGCTAACGAATGAGGCTAGATAGAAGAACCCTTATGAGGTCAACAACCTAATATTTACATATGAATGTTAATATTCATGAAAGTTGAAAATGTTCTATGCGTTTTACGCTGTTCTTTGCAGTGTGGTTTGATCGCTCATCTTTCAATGAATCGGACCTGTGAAACATTTGATTAGACACCAGGGCCTCGTGATTTTACCTGTTCACGTTATATTACCTGGATTAAATTGTTCCACTAAAGAAAACGACATTTCGTCAGAACTTACTTCCTCTAAACTTGGCCGTGATGTTGATGTTCGCTGCATTCACGATTAAGTAAGCGTCGGATACGTTGTTGAGGTTGTGCGATGGCGATATTTCGAATTTAAATCTTCTCCCGGAATCTGCAGGAAAATAATAATAATGATAATAATAATGATAATTTTTGCGCATAGAATCCAACGCAATGCTGCTCTCTGGCGTTACATTATTACCCTGACGGAATTGTACTTTCAAAGCAGCTACTAAGCGCTTCGCGCGACCGTATAGGTCCATACATCCGCTTCTCAGTAAATAATTGTTACACATCGTTTCATATGACGCATTGTCTGTTTCCATGACAACATAAATATAAAAAAATGAGTGGATGGTGTTGTGAATAAGTCTTTTAAATGGTCCAAGAACGTTCGTATCGCTCTCGGGTAGTTCAGGATATTTGACGGACGGAAGACAAATGTCAGTGGTAAGAGTTGGACGACAGCAACCATGTATATTATTGGGTGAATAATGGTCGAAATGGTACAAATAATGGTAATCACGTGACAGAACACACATTGGGACCGAATGGCCAATGTTCCCGTTGCGATGATCTGTTCTGTAATTTACACTTATGCATAATTCGGGCTGTGGTTCTTTGTCGTCGACGTAGTCGTTGGTGAGGCGACGACCTTGACCTTGGTATAACGCCATGTGGTGCAAGGTCACTGGCCTAAGATCGCCGACATAAGGAGGTGTTACTTGACATTTATAGATAGCTCACTCTGAGAGTGTGAGTTCGAATCCCTGATGACACGCAACTCAACAAAAGTACTGGAATCTGTACTTAACTGAGAAAGTGTAATCCCAAATATATCATATGTCACATCTGACCACTTTCCAAATGACATTGATTCATACGGAATATATACAAAAGCGATTAAACACTTTCCATATTTATAAACAAACCTCAGCTTAAGGAGTCGACTTTACGATTCCAAATATGTCTTGTTTATGAGAAAACCATACAGGTGGAAAAGCATAACATTTATTTAAAAGACGAGTGCTAGGTGGGTTTTATAGACAGAGGCAAAAGGGTTCGTCGACCAGATCGTAGGAATGTATACTCATTACTTACAATTGGTCTGGGTGAGTTTACGTTTTTACACACGTTTTTCATATAGAATGGGAAGAATGCCTAAAGGCACTGAAGCACAATTTAAAAAGTGTACAACAATTTCCAAGAAAAGAAAAGATTTAAAAAATAAGAAGACAATTAAAAAAAGACACAACATTTTAACGGACATTAACAGATGATAAATTAACAGATAAAATATATAACAATTTTTGTCGCCTTTTGGTTTTTATCAGAATAGATAAAGGTTGTTATCAGGTAATGAGTATTTGAAGTGCCGCTAAACTATCACACACGGTGAATACTACTGTCGACAGGCGATTTGTTGACGGGGAATTCAAAACGTCAGCAGCAGAACTCAATGTCTGCCAAAACAGATGTCACAGAGGATAATGCTTTCCGTCACGTTCGTGGTCAAGGATATACAACATAATCACAAAATCACATTTGAGTGAAATATGATTACTCTCTCGTCAGAATGGTTCGTGTTCTTTAACTGTCACGATTAATGACCCCCTTATTCTTCATTGTGGATGATTTTTAAATTTTATATATAGGTTAGTGTCATTTGGGGTCAGTGATACGTCGTCAACTGGAGATGGTTTAACACCAGGCCCAACAGTTATGTCACCCGTCAACGCTAGTAGAAAAATACTTGTGGTTCACTGTAGTCCTCATTCGTTAACAATGAAGAGATATTTATTTCATTACGTCTGCCACGGTGAATAAAACCCGATATCTCAGCAGAACTATAAAAATCCCTACTGTTAGGATAAAATAATTATGAAATGAATAATCACAAATTTCCGTCTGAGAATATAATTAGCTTAGCATACATATTCAGTCATAATGCTAATTTCTTTTCAATCATTGCTCAGAACGTCTTTCTTAATCATTAATAATAAATTCGAAATACTTTGAAAGACTTCTGATAAACACATATTTCTTAATCATAATATATTTAGATTCTGTGTATTTGTTTATCATTCCCAAAGGAGTGCGAATGTAATATCGCTGGGATTATTGAAGAACTCAAAGGTAAAAAACAAAGGCTAAATACGTCAGGTACTGAAAATAGTTGTGGACATGCCTAATAACTTTATATCCTGTACCAACTGAACACGATAAACTTGTAAGCATCATGTATAATATACTCTCCCGTTCTTCCTTTTCTAGAATAATTCGAAACATTCAATCCCCGACAAAATGCACACATGTATAATGTGCATGAAAAGGTTAAAAAAGAATTAAAAAAAAGAATATCAACAACTAAAATACTTTTTTTAAAACAAACATTTTTCATCGTGTATTTTCAAATATTCATGGTATTTTCCTTTACCACGAACATAAGACTGTATGGTATTGTATAATGTTTCATACATACTGTCTCTTGGTGTTGCCCTAAAGGATCTGATAACAGGACTTTGAGCGTACATGTCCTCCCATGACGTCCGGTGAATACGTAGCATCTCCTCCTTCAAATCCTCGTACAAGAGATGCATGAACGCTGGCACTCTGTCCTCGGATGGCCGATGGCGCCAAGACACATCGACCTCTGACAACAGATTCTCAATGGTGGATTCCCCGAAGGCTCCACAGATGAACAGCATCGACACATAGAGGTATACGTTTAAACGTAATATCCAATTCATTGTTTTTACTTCGTTTCAAAGTGACCATTCACATAATCCGAGGTCTGTCAGCCGCGTGTAAAAAGCATCTGGTTGTTGACTGCCGCTCACTAAAATGTCACGTGTTCTGTTTTAGCCGGAAGAGTTTAGCGCAAGCGCAGAAATAGTTTGATACAGACATGCAACATCTCGGTAAAGAAGCTGTGGTATATGAAGCATGGGCGGATCCAGGAATTGTGAACCCCCTTGTCTCCCCCAACGAATTTTTTTTTTTCAATGTTGTCTTAAGACATTTTCAAAAGGGGGGGTTCAACACCCCCTCCTCCTCCCCTTTTCTGGATTGGCCACTGTGAAGTGAGGGTGAAATTTACGCATAGGCATTGCAGTAGCAACAAGAGCAAATATATTCCATCGCGCTTAAAGGTGGTTAAGCGAAATTGGGATTGCTGTTGATTGCATTCATATGACGGCGTTTATAGTGACGTGGATGAGGCAGAAAAGCACATGGATATTCGGAACACGAGGTTATTTGGAACAGAAAGCCCTCGTCTATAGGCAAATAAATCTGCTCAAGCATCATCACCACTTCCATTGAAGTTGGTTACTTAGTCTTAACTATATATCTTCACTTAAGTCACTAGATATTACTCTTTACAAAATAAAAAAAAGTTTTAAACGTTTATTTCCCCGTGGACATCCTATAAATTGGGGGTGACTATTGAGGGGGAACAACTATTGCGATAGCGATAGTCTATTGCAACATACTATTGCAATACTATTGCAATGCTATTGCAATAACATTTTTATCCCCCGCCGCGCGTTTAGCGCGAAGCGGGGGATATAGTATTAGGCTCCGTCCGCCCGTCCGTCCGTCCGTCCGTACGAATTGGAATATCTTAAGAACCGTTGACTAGATTCTTTTCATATTTGGTACCTAGGTTCATCACAGTATAAGAAAGGTCCCAGTCAGGTTTGGTGACCTTGACCTTCATTTCAAGGTCACAAGGGACTTTAACGTTTTACTCTTGTCAGCGAAATAGCTCAAGAACCGTTCACTAGATTTTCATCTTCAACACCAAGCTTTATCTAGGGAAGGCGCAGGGCCCAGTCGATTTTGGTGATCTTCACATAATTTTTAAGGTCATGGCGACACTTTGAAGATTTCAGCATATTAACCTACATGTTATGCTTGTCAGCGAGATACCTCAAGAACCATTCACTGGACTTTCTTCATATTTGACACCAAGCTTCATCTAAGAAAAGTGCAAGGCCCAGTCGATTTTGGTGACCTCCTCTTAATTTTCAAGGTCACAAAGACACTTTGAATATTTCAGCATGTTAAATTGTATGTTAAGATAGTCAGCAAGATATAGCAAAAAACATTCACTGGATTTTTTCATATTTGACACCAAGCTTCATCTAATGAAGGCGCAGGGCCCAGTCAATTTTGGTGACCTTCTCATGATTTTCAAAGTCACTGCAACTCTTTGAAGATTTCAGCATGTTAACCTGAATTCACTGGATTTACTTCATAGACTTTCAAGACTTCCCTTGAATGTTTTTCAATAAGCAATTTCTTTAGTACCATTTTTGCATACTTCATACACTATGACATTCATGTCAAGGTCAAAGTCAGTCTTGAAAATATTTGTGTGTTTGAACAACTAAAGAGCAAGCTATCAAGAGAGGTTGACTGGTCATGCTTTTGTTGACATTTAACTTCGTCTTAAACTTTCATTACTTTTTAAGTTTCATTTGATAATTTGCGGCGGGGGATTACGTCACCTTAGTGACAATGCTTGTTCTCCGTGAATGTATAGTTTATATGAAATAAAAACAAGTTGAAGCAGTTTAAGTCTCGTTTGATAACTGACAAGAAACTTAAAACCCAGATAAAGTAAACAGTCAAAACATAAACTCAATGAAGCTGCAAGCCTGCACCCTGTATTTTGCGCTGCGCATTTATCAGCGAAAGTCAATAAATAAATTATCAATAGTCACACATACTATCGATGCATCGATAGTTTTTCGTTTCTACAATCGATTGATTGCTATCGGAGACTCAACAATTGCAATCCATCTATAGTTTGATGCATCGTTACAACACTACTAAAAATGAACTGGCAGGAAAACGGGTTTGGCCGGGTTTGAATGTGAGGAGTCTGTTTGGATGACAGAATTTAGGAATGATCTTATGTCACAAAAGATTATGTTTACACGCTCACCTCAGGGAGTGCCTAAATCTAATTTGACACCTGTAAAGTACCGGAGTGAACCATGTGCGAGGAGTGCATCAGGAGTGCATCAGTGACACACATGGAGTCGACGACATTGGTGTTAAAATATGATCCCGTTATAATTACGTACGTAGGGCACAATGATTTTACATAAAGCATTGTTTTCAGATTGTGAAAGTATAGCGGCATGTGTAGGATAAATCGCAATGTAGGATAAATGATACCGCCCCAGAATACGACCAGCAGTAGATCAGTACATAAATTACTGCCCCAGTTCAAAGCCAGTTGGAAAGAGGCCGGCACAAGTTCGTACAGCCAGTATTGGAACAATGTGAAAAGTGTTGGAAACATTGAACAACCATGGTCTTTTAGATCACCAGACGGAATTTACAATTGGATTCTGGACATATTATTGCGATAATTGTTATCACTATCAAAAATAGTCTTAACTTAAAAAATCAGCGTCTACATGTGGCGTAGATGAGACTTTCATCAACGAGATGATCATTCAGTTTGAAGACCAATACTTGGGTTCTTTCACTAAGATTAAAATACAGACAGAAATTTTGCTTTGTCAGTGTTTGTGACATCTGGCTGCATTAAATAACGGTATGAAAATGTAATATAACCCGACAGAATCTAAACAAATTTGACATTTCATAGACCAAGAGTAGTTTCCTTTTGACAAAGGACACGAGAGAGAGAGTGGTTTTACTCCGCAGGGGACACCAGAAATGGGCTTCACACATTGTAACGATATGATCAATCGAACCCGGGTCTTCGGCGTGACGAGCGAACGCTTTAACCACTAGGCTACCCCACCGCCCCGATAAAGGTGGAACCTATTGATTTATCACAAATGTAGGCATGTTATTTAGAAATATCTTTAAATGTATTTAGCCAATAGAGTAGTTAAGCTAATGTCTACAAAGTTTTAGTTTAAACTATATTACCTGGCGTAGCTTTAAGTTTCTAACGTACACACTGAGGTGAATATTCCAGGAATGTAACATTTGTGAGAGATATGTTTTGTTAGAAGATTACACTTGTAGGTTTCCTGTGATAAAGTACTGGAGTGAACCGTGCGTGATGCTGCGGCAGCATTAACATTTTACACATGGTGTGCATTCGTGGAGCACGTGGACTGGACAAGGTGTCTTAAAGGGACACTGTCAAACACACACACACACACACACAGAGAGAGAGAGAGAGAGAGAGAGAGAGAGAGAGAGAGAGAATGTTAGAGTTCGTGACTGAAAAATGTAAATGCCACACACACATATGTATTAAGAAAACCACTGCACTGTTACAGATGCAAGGATGCTCACGAACGCACGAAAACACACACACACACACACTTTCACACACACACACACACACACACACACACTTTCAAAATTACACGCCCACATAGGCTCACACTCACGCACGCACGCACGCAGGCACGCACACACACATGCACGCTATCTCTTAAGGCTGTAACGATGCATCGAACTATTGATGCATTGCAATTGTTGAGTCTCCGATAGCAATCGAAACGAAAACGTATCGATGCATCGATAGTATGTGTGACTATCGACAGTTTAGTAAGTGACTTCCGTTGATAAAGGCGCAGCGTAAAATACAAGAAGTACCAGATTCGTTCACTTAGAGTTATCCGCCCCTGTGATCTGGGTTTTAAGTTTCTGAATGTCAGTTATTAAAAGAGACTGAAACTACTTCAGCTTGTTTTCATTTCATATAAACTATACATTCATTTGGGAAATTACTTCAAATGAGACAATTCAAGGAGAGAAAACCCCTACTGTAATAGTACTGCAATAGTTGGTCACAATAGACTATCGCTGTCGCAATACTATGTTGCAATAGACTATCTCTATCGCAATAGTCACCCCTGCTATCTCTGCCGTTACACACCCAAATATTTTCCCTTCTATTATGTGTCTTATTTTGACACCACACAGGTCTTACTGTTACATATACCTGACATGTTTCGTGGTTTGCTTTCACCTTAGGTCCACTCTAAATGTATACTGTATTTCAACGAAGCTTACACTGCAATGTCTACATGTCAAACAGTGCTTAATTACTCAGAAGAATCATTATGGGCATGAATGTGTAAAATATCACGTATCATGTACCGTTCCACGTTCGGATCTCACATCGGTGTTATTGCCTGTGTATCCCTAAATATGCTTCTTCAGTACAACATTTCATTCATGTGAGGCTATCCGTACTTTTATGTGTACGAGGGGCGATCAAAGAGTATGTAGAATCACCAAGAAAACGATACAAATTTTATTTTTCTACATATTATCTGTCAAGCTCAAGCAATTGGGTTTTGCTATGTTCCGGTTTCACGATCCCCATTTTGTTTGACCTTTTATCTTGGTACCCTCAAAAAACGCAAATTCTACAATAAATGCATCAAACACTTCAGGAAACAAAATATATAAATATTTTGTGTGTTTGAGATTGATAGAAGTCCCCTAGAATCACACGTAGATATTAAAGTTCATAAAAAAGCAATTTGAAATTACAATCGCTTGTTAAAGTGACTCCCCCTTCATGTTGACTGAAAGAGCTTGTTTTGGAGACACTACCCATCCCCCTTTCAGATGACGTAATCATAAGGACATAACTTACTCTAATGTTTTCATTTATGCATACATGATGCCAAGGGTTCAAACTAAATACTGAATGGTCACACAAGTGTCAGCTCACAATATATCTGGACACAATGTTTTTAAAAGATTAAAATGGGGGTGTCCCTAAAAAATAGCCCCCGACTAAATATAAATCAGGCAATCCAAATCTTTGACTGTTGATCATGACGGGAAGTCATCCAATACTATACTGAAC